TCATTGTTGTTTGGCGGGCCCGGGCTGGATTCAATTCCACCACCTTAGGTGTATATGGCTGGCGCCCCAGTCACTTGAGCCGCAGGCGCCGAGCCCTCAAACTTTTTAAACGGGGCCAGTTCACTGTCCCTCAGACAGTGGAGGCCGGACTGCGGGCCCTGGGACGGGTTGCCTGCTAAGCAAGACAGGCAGCAGCGGCAGTAACACCCAGCAGGCTGGATAAATGTCCTAGGTGGGCTGCATGTGGCCTGCGGGCCGAAGTTTGAGGACACCTGCTATGGACCATTGGCTGGGTGCAGTGACTGACACTTGTAATCCTAGCATTTTGTGAGGCAGAGGCAGGAGGATTGCTTGACCTTAGGAATTTGAGACCGGCCTGAGCAACATAGACCCAGTCTCTTGCAAAAAAAACTAGCTGGGCGTGGTGATACACACCTGATGTTCTAGCTCTGTTGGAGGCTGAAGGAGGAGAATTGTTTGGCTCTAGGCATTTGAGAACACAGTGAGCTATGATGATGCCACTTTACTACCTGCCCAACAGACTCTGTCTCCAAAAAGTCCACCATTGATCCTGTTCCTGTATTTTGTCAAACTTACTGTAGGGGTTGGAGTTGTGGATGCTTGCTTTTGACTATCTGAAATGCTTGGACCAGAAGTGCTTTAAATGTTTTGCATTTTGGAGTAGTATGTGTCACTTAATGATGGGGATACATTCCAAGAAATTCATAGTTATGTGATTTTTGTTGGATAAACCTGGATAGTGTAGCCTGCTACATACCTAGGCTATATGGTATAGACTATTGCTCTTAGTCTACAAACCTGTACAGCATCTCACAGCAGTGAATGCTGTAGTTATTTGTAACATGTTGGTATTTGTGTATCTAAACATCTAAATAGAAAAGGAGCAGTAAAAATATAGTATAATTTTATGGGACTTACTCTCAAATATGCGGTCTATCATTGACCAAAACAACATTTTGTGGCACCTGACTTTATTTGTATTTTCTTTCTTTTGAGACAGTCTCAAGCTTTTGCCTTGGATAGAGTGCTATGGAATCACAGCTCACAGCAACTTCCAACTCTTGGCCTTAAGAGATTCTCTTGCTTCAGCCTCCCATGTAGCTGGGACTAGAGGTGCCCACCACAACACTTGGCTATTTTTTGGTTACAGTTGTCATTGTGTGGCAGGCCCAGGCTGGATTCAAACCCACCAGCTTCAGTGTATGTGGCTGATGCCCTAGCCGCACAGCTATAGGTGCTGAGCCACCCTATTTGCATTCTACCTACTTGGCTGTATCCCTCATCCAATGCCTAAAATTCTCCAGGGAGCATTTCCTTTAAGTGTCCTTGTCAGTGCTCAAAAAGTTACAGATTTTAGAGCATTCAGATTTTCAGATCAGGGATACTCACCGTATGTGCAGGTTTTTTGTTTTGTTTTGTTTTTTTGAGACAGGGTTTTGCCCTATTGCTAAAGTCCAGTGGTGTCATCAGCTCACTGCAACCTTAAACTCCTGGGCTTGATTGACCCTTGGGCCTCAGCCTCCAAAATAGTTTAGACTACAGGTGTGCTACCACACCTTGCTAAATTTTGTGGTTTTTATGTAGAGACAAGGTCTTCCTTTTACTCAGGCTGGTTTTGAATTCCTTCCCTCAACAGGCCTCCTGCCTCAGAATTACAAAGTGCTAAGATTACAGGCGTGAGTCACTGCACCAGTTGCAGCTTCTTTTTTAGTTCTATCAAATACTTAATAGTAGAAAGTATTTTCAGTTGGATTTCTAGGTGTTTAACTTCATTTTGAAGTATACTCCAAGTCTTCTAAAACTGTGCCTTTCAGGGCAACCCACATTTTCCAGCTTGATTTCTTTCTTTGAGTTGCCATAATTTGCACAGCAAAAGTAATAGTCTCCCACTTGCCTTCCTGCTGTCAGTCAGATCCATTTTTATTTTTATTTTTTTGAGACAGAGTCTCACTTTGTTGCCCCCAGTAGAGTACTGTGGCATCATAGCTCACAGCAACCTCACACTCTTAGGCTCAAGAGATCCTCTTACCTCAGCCTACAGAGTAGCAGGGACTATAGGTGCCAGCCACAACACTTAGCTATTTTTTTTTTTTTTTTTTGACTGGGGCTGGGTTTGAACCCGCCACCTCCGGCATATGGGGCTGGCACCCTACCTTTTGAGCCACAGGCGCTGCACAACACTTGGCTATTTTTTAGAGACAAGGTCTCGCTCTAGTTCAGGCTTGTCTCAAACTTGCCAGCTCAGGTGATACACTCACCTCGACCTCCCAGAGTGCTGGAATTAGCATGGTGGCTCATGCCTGGCTTTTCAGATACTTTTTTTTTTTTTTGGAGACAGAGCCTCAAGCTGTCCCCCTGGGTAGAGTGCTGTGGCATCACAGCTCACAGCAACCTCCAACTCCTGGGCTCAA